GAAAGATGCTGCATTTCAAGCCACATATGGCACGGTGCTATGACAAGGCAGAAGATACAGCTAAAACAAGCAAACAGGCAGAATAAGCATCTTCTGTTTCTGATGAGAGGCGAGACTAAAAGTCACTAATAATTACGGAGGTATCCATCACCTCCACCTGCTCTGAAAGCTGTTCAGGATCTGTGTTTTGCTGTGAGTAGATATCCTAAATGTCCTTGTTTTTGCTGGAGTCCCTGTAGCTATCTGCATGTATTTAGCTTGCATGTCAGGCTCTCCATAGTTTTCACTGGAGAGTAAGCTGCCTATTGTATATTTAAAAGGGATTTTTCTCCAGGAGAGATCCTTTAAAATATAACAGGCCTATTTGTCTTTTCTTATGTGTCTTTAGGTTCTTTAATTTTCCTGGACACTTTTACTAAGTGACAAATATACTTAAGTTTAAACAAGTAATTTCCCCTGGCTGGTACTCCTTCCCTCTCGTCTACTTCTACCTGCAATGAATTCAAAATGCTGAATCTGTGTCTGGATTTTCAATGTCAAACACAAGATTATGTTTTCCAAGGCACAGCAAGAAGGAGAACTTGAACTTGAAGGATAAGGCTATTACTCAAGGAAACACCCGCATCCTAAACAGGGTGAGGTGAAACAAAAGCAAACCACATTTACTGTTTATGTGCTCTAACACGTAGTGAGAGCCTTCTTTACGCGTTCATTGTAGGGAGATACCGTATAGGTACCTGAACACACTGCTATGATGTAAACGAAGAGGTTAACTGCCTCCGTGTTAGCCATCTGGTGGTGTCTACTTGATGCAAACACGAAGCATCTTACCCTTCAAAGCTACTTTCCATTTAACCAAAGGAACAGGACACTGAGGTGCAGCACTAGTACGATAAAAAGGCTCTTGGTTGTCACCCTCCTTTAACTGGCAGTAATGGCCTTTCGTGCCCATACCTGCAGTTTCAGAGTTCAGCGATGACAGTGGGGTAGAGGTGGGTGGGAAGAAACAATCAAACACATTTTAAGTTACTAGTTCTCGGAAAATGAGGGTGGCTAAGATTAGTTATGCTAGAGTAATGGAAAACATCAAGCTGAGTGAAAACTGGCTGACAGTCTCAAAGTGTCATAAAGGGAAAAAACAAAGGAAGTGCTATGAATTCAAAATATGGGCCACATTTATAATGCAGAAAGGGAGACTTTCATGAGCTAAGCTGATAAAAACCTTTCTGACTCAGTAACAGTGGATATTGCTGTTGGTCATAACTGCATTTTCTCCAACTGCTGAAGTACATACAGAATGATTTTGGACTCAAATTAAAGCAGCAAAGCAAGTTTCCAAAGAAAAAAATGGAGAGGCTAGAGCTTGTTTTTGGTTTATAAAAGTTCGAGAAAGAACTAATAGACTTGTAGGAGAGTTTAGAAGTCATGACTTATAGAGCACCCTGCTTTTCTACCACAAGGGCACTGGGAAACAAACCTCATGAGTTCTTATTGCCGGTGTCATGAGTTGAAAATGGACATGAAACACCTGAAGAACAACTTTTTTGGGCAACAGCAAATGGTCTGATTGTTCCCCTTTTTTTCTTGTTTCAATCTCAGCTTCCTCTTTGTGCAACAGGTGTTCGTAATGAAACCAACCGCATGCAGTGGTCAGGGGCTTCCCCAAGAACAAGGGTGCAGTGACATGATCCCTGCTGCAAGAACAAGGAGCAAGAGGGAACAGAATTGATGAAATACTTGTGGTAAGCTATCATGACTTGCTGGAACAAAAAACCCCACAGTATCAGGTGGAGCTGTACGGGCTATAAACATTAAGGAAGAAAAAAAAAAACCAACCCCCAAACCAAAAAACCCAGCCATTTGAAACCTACAACTGACTGTGTAACTTCTGTGAAGCTGCAAGATTTGTTTTTGTGAAACATGCAGCTGCACATAAGGACAGTGGAAGATGGGCCTGTACAGAATGGGACCAGCTGCATCTCCCACACAGGCTGTAATCCACTCTGTTAGAGCCAGACGAGAGTAACCATAAGAATGTTAAACAAGGAACACATGGGGAGTGCTAAGAAGGTAAACGAGTGTACAAACTTGAAATAAACACAAACAAACTGAACCAACAGGGTAAAGAATAATAATAAGGAAAACATTTCAATTGTTTATAACACTGTTATCAGTATGGGCAGCAACAATGAGTCAGGAAAAACACCTCCTGGAGAAGGAACACTTGGCATTGCTGAAGCCTGGTGGGATGACTTCCATAAACAGCCATTGTAAGTGTTCCAATTATAATCTGCCTGGGAAGATTCCAGTAGTAAAATGTGTGCCTATGGGTGGTGTTAGCAAAGAAGGAAGTAAGGGAACAGCACTCTAAATTAGAGGGTTGTTTTTTAAAAAAATGCTTTGGAATCATGAACTCGGGAGCATACTGTTTCAGGGCCGACAGAGCCAACACTTGAGGGAGGTAAATAAAATGTCCTAAATAACTACAGCCTCAACCTAGCTGAATGCAGTGCTGACTGCAGATATGGAATTGCTGTGAATATTCAAAGAGAAGTTAGAGAGTAGAAGAAGTATAGTTAATGCTAGCAGCTATTCTTTTATGGAAAGCAGATTTTACCCTAAATGTCATTTTTCAAGAATAACTAATTACCAACTTTGAAATGCTCTTTTTTTCCCACAACACTCAACGACATTTGCACACCATTTGTGATGCGTTCCGTATCTCACACAGTGAATACTCAATACAATGACAGATCTTGGTTGCTGTTGAGGGAGGCAGGTAACCGGCGGATGTCATGTCGCAGCCAGGTATATGGAGCCATAACCCAGCAACAGCTCTCTACTAGGGTTCCTCGGGGATGAGCAATTGCACAAGCCTACGTGTTCTTGCCTCAGTATAGAGCAATCTTCTATAACTAGCGGTGTAGGCCTATCCAAGAAAGTTGTGATTATATACGCTCCTAGAAACAGGAGGTGTTGGGCAAACTGACAAACAGGAAGTTTTTGAAATCCTGGAAAGCAATAACTACAAAGGAGAGGTCACAGTGAAGAAAATACTGCACAGAGTTTTGTTTTGCTTTCTGTTCTTTTTTTTTTTTTTTTTCTATTTTTCTTAGGTACACAGAGCTGCAGAAATAATGTTCTTCAGCTTCCTGTATCTCCTACAAGATTTTAGTCTGCTTAGAAATTCCAAAGTAAGAGTGAAAGGCAGATAATTTAGCAAGGGCAACATCAAAGTGAGGAGAAAATAAGGGAACTCTGGAAGTGTAATAAGGACCTATACCTGAAGGATGAAACATGGTAAATCCAAAGGCTCTCATCTCTAACAGTAAGGGTGATTAACCACTGAAATAAGGGAAACAATGGATTTGGCAAGCCAATTTTTGCAATATAGACTAGCTGCCCTCTTGGAAGGCTTGTGCTAGACAAGCACAGATAGCTAGGTTCAGCATGACTGGTTGAAGCTCAAACGCTAATGGGACACAGAAATTTAAATCTAGAAGAGATTGTTATCATTAATGGAGTTCTGTCCAGATGACCTGTGCTTTTTGAAAGTGACCCTTTTTTTAAATGTTCGGTACTATCTAGTACTTCATCTTGGCCTTCATCACATTAATTAAAATCACCTTCATACAATTACTGTTGAAAATACACTTCATAAAACTTATTTCCACATCCAAGGCTCAAATCTGACACACGGTTGCACTTCCCATTCGCATGCAGCAATACTCAACATCTTGAGCAGTCCATCCAAATACGACACTGATTGGAGAAGCATTTAAGAAGGTATCTCTGTTCTTCTGATATACAATACCAGCAGTATTTGGATTTGTTAAAATGATCTTAGTTCATCTTATTAGTAAATGAATCTCTGGAAATTTGAGTCGATATTACTGATTTAAAATAAATATATATTCTCCAACTGCTAACAATATCCAGATACTATTCAACAGCTCACTTAACAAGATATTAGGATATAATTAGAAAAAATTACCTCTACAGCTTCCCATCCCCACTGCCTGTACTTTGGGTCATGAGTGAGCCGCCACATGTACATGTAGGTCTCTATAACTTCTGGTCGTAGGATGTAGTATTTTTCATTTTGTCTTGTAGCTATGGCCTCAACACCTCCATCAAATCTGAAGGCTTCTGGTCCCAGTTTCATGCCTAGCCAATATAAAAACACATGCTAAAACAAAGGCATTAAAAAAGGTTTCAAATTATGTCACCTACCAAATCAACTACGTTTCATACAGCATGAAGCCGGATTACCCAAAAGGTATGTAATTTCTAAAAGATACTGCAGCACCTCCTGTTTTTAATATTTTTGTGAATAATTCAGAGGAGAAGAGAGCTGTTCTTCATCAATGCCTTAAACGGCAGTTCCAGTTTGAACAGTGATGCTAACATTTGCATTCTGGAAGACTGCATACAACTAGCAACATGTGAAATTTTGCTTAAAAGACAAGGATATTTACTTTTCTATATCAAACTGGAAAATACACTCTGGGACCTGAAATGCTGCCAGGGTTATTTCTATGAGAAGATGAAAGAATCCAAAGAAACTTCCCACACAGAAATCCACTTTCTTTGTGCAAGTCTATTGTTTGCAGCATTGTACCAAAAGAACTGAGAATAAAATTATTTTTTGTGCATAAATCAGGATTAATAGCTATATTGATGTATAAACGAACAGGGTCCCTTCTCTTATTTGTATTCTGCTGTACAGAAATCAGCAAAGTGAAAAAAAAGCTGTCATGATAATTACTAGAGTGAGCAGATATGATTCAGGTGCACAGAAATTATTTATAAAACAGAGCAGCCGTTCTTAAAGATACTCTTAGACCAAAGCAGCGTTTGCTCAGAAAAGATGAATTCTCACCATCATACAACTTTCATTCAGCATTACACAAAAGTATCGATGGCTGCCTTCACAGAGCCAAGCTGAAATTGAACTCTGCGCTACAGTACTTACTTGTACGATCGTAGGATTCATGGCAAGTCCTAGCAATTTCGGCACCGAGCTCGATGTGATGGCCCGTCTTGTCGTTAGGTGCTCCGTCCGCTCCGAGAGCAAACATGCCTCCGGCGAAACACGTGAGGTGTCCCATCTTGTGTTCGAGCAGTCCACCTTTCCACTCAGCGATGTATGTCAGCCCCCCACTCGATTTTCGAATGAGGTGGGTCTCTATGGCCTGCAAAGGTACATGATTTCAAACCACAGATACCATTTGGTAAAAAACGAAGGACGAAGTCAAAGTTGTCTTGTATGTTGGGTGGTTTTCCTCCGTATCACCTTTGCTTGTAAAATGGAGAATATAAGGTAGCATAACCTCAAAGTGCAGCCAAGCCAACACAGATTAGCATACATCAGTAACGATGATTAATTTTGCTACAACTTTGAGCTATTTACGGAGTACGTTTTATAAAAATATTGGAAAGGCCTAAAAAAATATAATTCCATTTTAAATGATTTTATTTCTTTCCCTTTCTACTTTGAGCAATTTCAGGTGACTTCACTTTTAATGGTAATTAGCCATCACTTCAGCTTCCAAACTTCCTATTTTAATTCTGACTTAAACAATGTGGTTATTGATATAATTTAATGTCAATTATATGCAGACATAACTCATATTCAAAACATCCGACTCAGTGAGTGCACTGAATGACGTTAGGCCTCTGAGTCTATATGGCATTCCCAAAGTCCGATGAGTTTCCCCTCCACGTCTGAATTCCTCTGTCACCATCAATCAAGAGTAGGGTCCCACTGAGATTTCTGGGAAAATAAAACCTAAGCAGAATAAAAATATACAAATCTCCTAGAGAGAATCAGACGTCAGTGCTGTTAGCAAAGTATGGTCAATGATTACAAAATCCAGGAAAATAACCTTCCCTCGCGGTAGGAACAGAATTAAAACGATAGAGGAGATGCAGAAGAGCACATTAATTGGAAGCCCACACAGAAAGCAAGCTAATACTCTTTAAAGGGTAGTGAAGAGGAGACGAACAACGCTATCATACATTCGGTTATCCAGCAGTGTGCTGGTTTATTCTATAGAAATCATAATGGCCAGAAGCAGCACTCAACATGCATTATACACGAGAAAAAACATGAATAAAATATCAGTACAGAGAACTATTAATAAAAAAGCCAGGATTTTAAAAAAAGTGTGACAAAGATAAGGTAGTGATGGTTGTTATTTCTTCCCATTTAAACATCTGTAAATGTTGTTTTTATAAGCATGAAAAATCTTCTCTAAACTAGAAGCATCAGCAGAATAATTGTGTAAGTTTTACTTACTAAGTAGGTTTGTTGTGCCAAGAATGTCACATTGAAAACTACACTTTGTTTTCCACCAGTATTAGTGCAAAGCACTTAGTAAGGCTGTTTTCTGCCCAGCTCCAGACCCACTACTGGCTCAGAAAACTTCTCCATCCCTTTGTTTCCTCCTTGCCTGTATGTTTTTAGCACCAGAAAAAGCACTGAAAAGCATACCTGATTTTTAAAGCAGCAGTAAATAATGAATATTCCTGTGCTTTAAGCAAATCCTGCATAATTTAACCTAGGAAAAGATGAGGTAAAGGGGAAAGGTGGGAAACCATTTTCCTTAAGCATCCAAACCACAGACCCCACTATGGAAGATGAAAGAATTACAGAGGCTGGGTAGGTGTCGAGCTAATTGATGGCCATGTATTCTGAGTGCCTATAAAAATCCTTTTCTGTCCTGTTGGGAAACTAGTAGTGGAATACCTAGGTAATTAAAAAAAAATAGTGTTCTTTACAACATGTCTCTTGTGCACATTTGGGTGTAAAATATTTGAATTTACAATTGAAGAATTGAGAGAACAGAGTTCAAAGTACCTGCTAAAAAACGTATTAATGCATAAACAGGCAAAATTTGTGAGAAGATAGAAATAGTTGGAAAACTTCCAGAATCTTTCAGAGTACTGTTTGCATTTTTATTAAACAGTTCATATTTTGTAATAGGATGCCTTGTTGTCAAAAACACACAACAATTTTGTGGGAAATAGCTTTCAGACTACTTGGGCATTCAAAAACATAAGCTACCTGAAACAAAGTTCAGAAATGAAAAAACTTTTAATTTAATAACATTTCATTAAACCTTTCAGTATGGTATCCCCATCTCACCAAAATACCATTCTGGCCATAGTCGATATAACTCTACTGGTCACTTGGCTGTTGAGTCAGAATTTATATTAAAATAAACAAATATAAAAATAGATTGATGACTAAATTTACCTATATTGCATTTTTTTTTAGTAAAGAATTAATGAAAGATTGAATGAAGTATTACTGTACCTGACAGAAATAACAGTAATCGTGCACCTTCAGGACTACAGTAGCTAGACCAGAGTTGATCCTTGCAGTTTGAAAATGGATTTCGTAACACCAATTAGTCTTTCAGAGTTTTTTCCCCCTCTTTTGGCTCTAGATTAAAGTTCAGGCTGAAAAATGGTGACATCCACTTGGGAAATTTTAAAATTATTCTAAGGAACTGGTGTCAAGAAACTAACAAACTGATGTTAATTGATGCTAAGAATGTCGCAAAATAAAAATATATTTCCAAATTAATTATTCATGTTTAGTAAAGCAAATCATCTTGGTTTTATAAATGGGTCCCATTAAACACTAGTACATATGCCTATTAAAAGTTATTTTTATTATGTAAGCATCTTATTTAAAGCTATTTTTGTTAGGTAATTATTTGATATATTACAGACTCTCAAATTGCCTTGTCATACTTTGGACAATCATGGGTGGCTGAGTGCTGGGTAATACCTGTACTGATGTATAACACCTTTATTAATGACATGCTGGGTAACTACTCATTTCTACCTAGACATGCAATCGCAATAACCTCCGATCTGTACACATAGCCCTCAGAAGCCACAAGCCCAAGCGTGCCAAACTTGCACGTCCATCAGCACTCAACAAACTCTTATTCTGCAAGACAGGAAAACAAATACTGTAACTTGGGAAAGCCTAACCTTCGTTTGAAGCTCTGTGCTGGTGAAGTAACAGTTTGCAGAAGTTACATGATTGAAGCAAACTGACCTCCACCGAACAGCTCCCGTGAAGGGCAGAGGAGCGTCTCTGCCCAGAGGGCCGGTTGCCCCTTTTGTGGCACTGGGTGGCGCAGCAGCAGAGCTCACAAAACCACTGCCGGGGAGCTTACCGTGGGACTGTCAAAGGCTTCAGCTAAATCTGAGAAGTTTCTTCATGGGCCATTTGCCGTCTGAGCTAGACAAACGTGTTTTCGTCAGAAACAGGTTTCCCTTCTCTCATCACTACTCGGCTGCCCTCCGACTAGAGGACAGAGAGACTAGCCGCTTGCCCTGAAGCTACATCCTCCAAAGGCTTGCTAATGAATTTGCAGTGTCACAGCTGCATAAAGTTTGGAATAATTCCAGCACGGCATCGACATGTTAGATGATAATGAACTTGTTAGGTGTCTTCCAGTTGTTTCAGGGACTCAACAGAAAAAGAAAAGTCTTTATAAAAAAATCAGCATATTTAGAAAGCCTCAAAAATGTAAACGCTTTTTTGATCTTTTTAAAAAAAAAGTGTAATCTGCTTGAGTAGAACATAGAAAAGAAACTCCCTAACATTAACTATCGATGAATGTATTCACTGAAACTTTGAATCCCTCTATTGATGACAGTATTTGCAGCATTAAGACATGGTAAAACCTTCCTTTTCCCCACAACTCCAACCTAACTATAGTTTAATTTCAGAATTTACTTCCAAATATTGTTAGAGCACTACTTCTGGGAAGTCTAATGTTTGTATAATGCATTTGTATAATACATTAGTAGAATAAAGTATTTTCAAAGTAAACAATAAACAAAAATCAGTACTCTTTCAGGTATCAATTCTGAATCTATACCCAAACTGCCAAAGTGCCAGCTGTCATCCATCTGTTGGAAATTCACAAAACTGCGATTGACATTTTTAATTTTTTTTTGGTTCTAATATAAGGGTATGTACATCTGTGAGCAGCACATCAAAATATGCTTCAGTGAGCTTCACAAAGGTTGTAAGTGCTATCAGGCTGGACTGAACTTCCTGAAAGACATCCCATTATTTAAATAAGGTTGAGGTCCAGAGCAGGACTAAATCACTACCTGGAATACATGGGCAATTGTTTTTCAGTACAAAAAAACTTGAACACAAAGTTGAGAAAGTACTTGGATGAGGAAGAAATACTATCAGTTTAAATGAAGCTATAACATGGGTCTCCAACTTGAGCAGTAGGGTGGAAAGGTAGCGATACAATCCCACAGGGAGATGCTACTTGCTATCTGCAGCGCTGCGGGCGCAGTTCTGGCAGGAAAATCAAGTTACTAAAACAGTTTATGATAGGAGAATAGGTAGTGTGGTGACAAAGATCCACCCAAGTGAAAAGCTCTGTTTTGTAGAATTAATTCTTAATTTCATACTTGGAGCCAATTTACTTTTATTGGGCAGCAGAGCACTGGAGCAGGCTGCCCAGCGGGGTTGTGGAGTCTCCTTCTCTGGAGACATTCAAAACCCGCCTGGACGCGTTCCTGTGTGACCTGCTGCAGGTGGTCCTGCTCCGGCAGGGGGGTTGGACTAGATGATCTTTCGAGGTCCCTTCCAACCCCTAACATTTTGTGATTCTGTGATCTACACACTTAAAAAAGGGACATGTTTATTTGAATTGCAGCTGTATTACAACTTGGTCCCCACCTACAAATAATTCCTTCCTGCTGTGCTTGCAGATCAGGTGGTGTCATATTTATCACTACAGAGGTTATTATTTCATTTTACTGTAATGAATATTCTCAATATAAACCAATATACAGTATCTGCAAATAAACAAAAAAGCTAGAAGAATGTGGTCTTTGATTAGCTGAAAATGCATTATTGATGGATAATTGTTTGGAGCTGCTACAGTTTTTCTTTTAAGTAAATGGAAATTTCATTTTACTGTTTTCCAGAATGTATTTCTGTAATTCAAACAGTAATTTCTTTCTTTCTTTCTTCCTTTCCATCAAGGTAAAGCAGAGAGACTGTGCAACATAAAAGCCTGCAAAGAAGAAGGGGCTGCAAATGTATGTTCCCAAAGGGAGCAATAGCAGATGCTCCCTGGGAGTGACATAAAAAAAAAAAATAAAATTGAGACAACCTGATTTTCAGCTGTAGTGGACA